GCGGCGCCCGCGGAGCTGCCCGAGACGCACTGCCTGCTGCGCCGGACCTGCCGCGACTTCGCCGAGCGCGAGCTGGTGCCCGAGGCCGCGCGCCTGGACCGCGAGCACCGCTTCCCCGCCGCGCAGGTACCGCCGCCGCCTCTTCTGTGTCGGGCGCAGTCAGCGCGTTACATCCGCCGGCCCTCGGGCAAACGAGGAGCCGCTGCGTAGGGCGGGGAAATGCTTCACAGCAATAAACGCGGGGCCTCCGGCCTCGTTCAGCGGGTGGGACGAGGGGCTGGGTCGCTGCCGCCGCCTCCCGCTGAGCCGGGGCGAAGCTCCGGGCCTCGACTGCTCCTGTGGGCTGCGACCGAGCACCTGCGCTCATGGGGTTTAACATCCTCCCATATCCCCTCGTGGCAAATGCCCAGCCCCAGCTGTGACTGCTTTGTTCAAAACCTTCAAAATTAACACAATTAAAGGTGTGTTTTTTCCAATTAAAAGGGGGGAAGTGGAGCCTAAAAATCTCATCCTTTAAGAATAAATAAAACAAGTTTTCTCCCTCGTTTTCCTGCCCGCACCTGTGGGGGGGCTGTACATTTGACCTGGAAAGGCTTTTCAGTTGGATATTACCCCTGCCTGTGATCATAGAAAAGTAGGGTTGGAAGGGCTCATCTAGTCCAGCGTTTCTCAGGCTGAGAGTCACGAACCAAAAGTGGGTTGCTAGTGATAGGGTCAGGAACAAACTTTAAAAATGGATCCTCGTTTGAAGGAGAAAAACATGGGAAGCTGTCCTTTCCCTTATGGGCTGGCAGAGTTCCAGCTTGCGAGGGGCTGCTTGGGGCTCCCCCTACCCTGCACACAGGGGGGCTGGAGCCTAGGGACATGGGACAGCTGTGAGGAACACTGGGCCAGGACTGGCCATCAATGTTTATGAGTGGGTCTTGGTACAAAAAAGGTTGAGAACCACTGGTGTAGTACAAACCCCTGCTCAAAGCAGGACCATCCCCAACCAGGTCATTCCAGCCAAGGCTTTGTCAAGCCAGACCTTAAAAACCTCCAAGGATAAAGATTCTGCCACCTCTCTGGGTAACATGTTCCAGTGCTTTATCAGCCTCCCTATGAGAGAGATTTTCCTAATATCCAACCTAAACTTCCCTTGCTGCAACTTGAGGCCATTGCTCCTTGTTTCATCATCTGTCACCACTGAGAACAGTCCAGCTCCATCCTCTGTGGAACTGCCCTGCGGCTAGTTGAAGGCTGCTATCAAATCCCCCCGCAGTCTTCTCTTCTCTAGACTAAATAAGCCCAGTTCCCTCAGCCTCTCCTCAGAACACATGTGCCCCAGGCTGAACCATTTCCATTGCCCTCCACTGGACTCTCTCCAACTTGTTCATATCCTTGCTGTAGTGGGTGACCCAAAACTGGACACAGTACTCCAGATGTGGCCTCACCAGTGCTGAATAGAGGAGAATAATTTCTTTGCTCAGTCTGCTGGCAACCCGCCTACTAACGCAGCCCAGCATGCTGTTAGCTTTACTGGCAGCAAGGGCACGCTGCTGGCTCATATTTAGCTTATTGTCCCAGGTCCTTTTCTGTAGAGCTGCCCAGCCTATCAGCCCCCAGCCTGTATTGGTGGATGGGATTGTTCCATCCAAAATTTAAGACTTTGCACTTATCCTTGTTGAACATCATGAGATTTTCTTTGGCCCAATCCACCAGTTTGTCTAGGTCTTTCTGAATCCTAGCCCTAC